CCCCGGGGTCCTCGGGCAGGGGGTAGACACAGAAAAGCCCCTGGGAGACCCACCTGGCTGTGCACCCCGAGGTGCCCCCACCCCAGCTCTGGGGTCCCCCCAAGGGGCTCTCACCCACCTTGAACTCGCCCACAGGGTCCTCCCCCGGCGTGGGGTGCCCCCCCGGTTGGTAGAGGGGGAAGGTCTGACAGAAATCCTGCAGCCCCTCGAATTCGGGCACCGCCTCCAGCTCGCAGCTGTAGATCTGGGGAGAGGTTCCTGTCCTTGTCCTTGTCCCTCATCCCCATCTCGGTGCTTCTTCCTCATCCTCCTCCCCTTCCTCATCCTTGTCCCCATCCCATCTTGAGTCCCGTCCTTGGCCCTGTCTCCATCCTTCTCGGTGCTTCTTCCTCATCCTCCTCCCCTTCCTCATCCTTGTCCCCATCCCATCTTGAGTCCCATCCTTGGCCCTGTCTCCATCCTCTTCTTCATCCCTCTCCCCATCCCATCCCATCTCATCCCCTTCTTCATCCCTCTCCCCATCCCATCCCATCTCATCCCCTTCTTCATCCCTCTCCCCATCTCATCCCCTTCTTCATCCCTCTCCCCATCCCATCCCATCCCCTTCTTCATCCCTCTCCCCATCCCATCCCTTTCTTCATCCCTGTCCCCAGCCTGTTCCCCTCCCAATCTCCGTCCCTGACCTTGTCCCCATCCTGTTTTCATCCTTGTCCCCATTCCCATCTCATCTGCATCACTGTCCCTGTCTTCATCCCTACCCCATCTTCATCCCTGTCCCCAACCATCCCTGTCCCCATCCCCTTCTTCATCACTAACCCTGTCCCCGCCCTTAATCTTCATCCCATTTTCATCCTTGTCCCCATCCCTGTCCTGCCCCAATCTCCATCTCATCTGCATCGCTGTCCCCGTCTTCATCCCTGTCCCCATCTTCATCCCTGTCCCCAACCATCCCTGTCCCCATCCCCTTCTTCATCACTAACCCTGTCCCCGCCCTTAATCTTCATCCCATTTTCATCCTTGTCCCCATCCCTGTCCTGCCCCAATCTCCATCTCATCTGCATCGCTGTCCCCGTCTTCATCCCTGTCCCCATCTTCATCCCTGTCCCCAACCATCCCTGTCCCCATCCCCTTCTTCATCACTAACCCTGTCCCCGCCCTTAATCTTCATCCCATTTTCATCCTTGTCCCCAACCCTGTTCGTGTCCCCATCCTATCTCCATCCCGGTCCCATCCCTGGCCTCATCTCAACCCCATCTTCATCCCTATCCCCATCTTCATCCCCATCCCCATCCATCTCCTTGTCCCCAACCATCCCTGGTCCCAATCCCCTGCTTTATTCTTGTCCCCATCCATCCTATCCCATCGCCATCCCTGTCCCCATCCCTGTCCCCTGCTCCACCTCCCAGGGTCTGGCTCACCTTCAGTCTGTCCCTGTTGTTCCTCCTCCGGCTCTTTGCCTTGTCCCCCATGGCCGCGTAGAATTTGCTCCACCAGTCGTCCTCTTCCTCATCTTCCTCCTCCGCAGCCTGGTGGGGAGCAGGATGGGGGGGGGACACTGGTGGCATGAGTTGCCCTGGTGGCTTTGGTGGCCCCATTCCCGTGCCCACCTTGTTGTCCACAGCCCCCTTCTTCTTGGTGGTGATCCTGGGCAGCATCTGCAGGGAGCAAAGGGGACTCTACTTGGGGAAACTGAGGCACGGGGGACCCCGCTGTGCGGTGGGTGCTGGGGACGTGGAGGACTCACCCGAGCTATCCTGCCCCAGGGAGCAGCTGTGGGGAGGAGAGGGACAAAGAAACCACCCCGGGATGGGGTCCTGCCTGTAGGAGAGAGATGGGGCAAGGGGTACCCGGGATGGGGCAGAGGTGGGACAGGGATGGGGCAGGGATGGGGAAGTGGAGTACCAGGGGTGGGGCAGGGGGTACCAGGGATGAAGCAGGCATGGGGCAGGAGGTATCAGGGATGGAGTAGGGATGGGGCAGGAGGAACCTGGAATGGGGTAGAGGGTACCTTAGCCCTCCCATGGGCACCTCCGGGTCACCGGGCCACCCACCCTGGCCATACCTTCCAAAAACGGGCTCCAGGGTGTTGGGCACGTACTGGTCCCGCTGGCCCAACGTCTTCGTCCCCAGCGAGACACGGACGTAGGGGTCACACTGGCAGCAGGGGGAGGGGACCGTCAGGGGGGCATG